CACCCACATTCATTACTTTCCTCACCTCTGGGAAGGAAACCCACCGATGGCACCTCCGAACCCCAGTTACAGCCAAAATGTGCAGGAACTAAAGAGTAATATTCTCAACGCTGCCAAAAAGGAATCTCAGGGCAATGTTTTAAGGCTGTCAGAGTTAAAAATCCGAATCGGTGATTTGTGGAAGGCTTTGTTAAATGAGAATTTTATTTTCAGTTTTAAGAACACGCTGGAGATTGCGGCCTACAACAGGTTAGAAACAATGTTTAGCCAATGGACCTGGCAGCTGAGAAGTCACATGCTAGAGCTGCAGACAAAACTAAACAATCAAATCAGGAACAGAGAAATGCTCCAAATCACCAGAGAAAGCCTTGAAGAAGGAGTTAGAGAAAAATATGGTGCCATCATGGATCAACTCGAAAAGTATTTCAGTGAAGACCCAGATGCTGAAATATTGATTCAATGGAAAGCAAACATAGAAATTAAACTGACAGAACTTAAAATGTCACTTATTGATGAAACTAAGAGGAAATCTGAAGAACTTATCAGACTAAGGAAGAACCAAAGCAAACTGGATGAAAGGAAGTCAGAATATGAAAATGAGCTATTCAAAAGGAGCCAAGAGTTGGCTCTGTCATTCAAAGGCAAGAAATTGAGTGAAAATGAACTGAGAGAGAACTTTGACCGCCTATGGGGAAAATGGGTCTATGAAGTGTCCTCTGATGCCCCTTCTATTGAAGATCCTAATATCAGCCTTGATATAGAAAACATCCTGCTCGAGCGTTTTAAACAGAAGTCTGGTGTAGCAAAAAGAATTAAGGTCTATTCTAGCAAGAATATGTTTTCCACTGATTTTTTGAAGCATATCACCATAAAGAGAGGATGGCATGTATTCAAGAAGAAGACTTTAGAGAAGTGTGACAGAGACACCATAGAGCAGGTTACAGACCACATCACACAGCGGGTCAGAGCAATGATCGATAGTAAAGAGCAGCAGAGACTGGATTACAATGCAAGTTACATTCATGAAATACTGAATAAAATAAGACAAGAGGTGGACTCTGCATCTAATAACCCAAAGTACACATTTAATGATGATTACATAATAGATTTATCAGTGTATTTATGCAAAATAGCATCAGGAAGGTTTGAAAACCTGCACAGAGCATTTAAAAAAGCAAATGATCCAAATGACTACCTGGGGGGTAAAAGAGAAGATTTCTTCAAGTGTTTTCAGATTTCCTGCCAAGGAGCAACCTCTATCACAACATTTGCTGATTTCCTATGCACCAAGCTTTCTGCACCTCTCCGCCAGGCAGTCTATGACAAGACTGCCATTGACATAGCCAGTGAGATGAAGTCTAAACTTCCAGCTTTCAATGGGAACAGATTGAATCTAGAAAACTCTATTCTTGTATATCTGGCAGAGAAGGAAGACTTTGAGGAGTACAAGCGATACATTCAATTAACAAAATACTTTTTTGAGGAGTTTATCAAGCAGCGCGTTGATGATTATTGCTTAGACAAGAACAATCCAAAACTGAAGAATTCCCTAAATAATTCCCTTGATTCTTTCCATACTCTTGTCCTTTCAGCTATTCGTGACGCAACTGAAGTTACTAAAGACAGACGTGGCAACGTATCCTTATGGCTGGATGAATTTTGCAGGAGACTGCTACAGCATTTAACCCTTCCAAGAGATGATCTAAAAAGCATTGAACATCAGGAGGTAACAGACATAGAGTTTCTTAAGGAAGCAATGAGTAAAGCATTGGCTCCTGTGGTAGAAAATCTAAAACAAGACTTTGCTGTCATTGATTTGGAGCCATTTTCAAGAAAACCACATGAAATACTAGCTGAACAGCTTGGTGGGTGCTGGGAGAAGTGTCCCTTTTGCACAGCTCCTTGCACAAACACCATAGCTGGTCATGATGGAAAACACAGTGTTCCTTTCCATCGGCCTCAAGCTGTGGCTGGCTGGTATTTTCATACAACAGACAATCTAGTTCCTGTTATTTGTTCCAGTCTTGTAGCAAGTGATAAACACTATAGACTTAGTGTTAGTGAAGACCGACTAATTCCATACAAAAAGTACTGGGAAGGAGGACCGCCTTATTCTGACTGGAGAATCACAGCAGACATGTCAGAGCAGTCTTACTGGAAATGGTTTGTGTGTCGTTTCAAGACAGAGTTAGAAGAACTCTATGGTAGAAAGTTTGAAGGCTATGGTGAAATCCCTTCTCAATGGGAAAACATTCCAAAGGACAATGCACTCAGAGAGCTGAAAAAACTATATCCTTCAGTCAGTCAGAAAGAATAACTGCAAATCAGTACACCATTAGCTTTACTGCTTGGAAAGTGTGTGTAATGACTAGAGCTTTAGAGCGTTAGTCATTCAAGCAAAACTATGTTTGAGTCTCTTGGAGAACTTGGAGAAATACGGGGAAATTATTCATTTCAGTATGGAGTAGTTTAGTTGCATTGTTATAGCTTTAGATCCGTGTAGCTTTCTTAACAGAAATATTCTAACTGAATCACAAGTTGTAGCAGGGGAGTTTTTCTCAATGCTCTAAGCATATGCTGAATTATTAACTGCATCAGCAGGAAATAGAACTATAGCCACAGAGTTTTACAGTAGGCCCAGAGCTCTGTTTCATGTGAAAAGCAGCTGCAGAATCCAGCTCGTCTAGCTTAGTTATTTTGTTTGCTTTTTATCATTAATGATACATACCGAAAGAAAGACACAGGACCAAATTCTAACACACACTTACCACTGTGGAATCTAAGTAACTACATTGAAGTTAACTGAGTTGCTCCAGAAACAGACGGGTGTAACTGAGATCAGAATTTTCCCCGTACCATAGAGAGTCTCTTATTGATGTTATTTACACAATGGGCTGGGTGTGAGCTGGATATGGCACAGCTGAACTGGCCAAGTCCTCCACATTCCCAAATTCCTGGGGAACAGGGTGATATCCATGCAAAGGGGCTACACACACAACCACCACCACATTTCCACTTCAATTGTAAGTCCTCTTGTGCAAAAGTTTTTATGCATCACATAATCCCGTAATACTTTACAATAAAATAATTATACTGTGTAATACATGTATTACTCGGTGACAATACATTAATCATGAAGAATGTAGTTCCCATATCTCTAAATGTGGACTTTCATTGTCACATAGAATATAGGATATTTTATTACAATCGCAGTCAGTTTTCAACTTTCAATATATGTCACAGATGCACATAAAATAAAATTTTGCATTGAAGCCAGTGGAGATATGCAGGGGTAAATCAGGGCAGAATTCGACACATAATGTTTTGTTTTTCTGTTAGTAGTACAGTAGAACCTCAGAGTTACAAACATCTTGGGAATGGAGGTTGTTGGTAACTCTGAAATGTTCGTGACTCTGAGCAAAACACTATGGTTGTTCTTTCAAAAGTTTACAACTGAACATTGTCTTAATACACCTTTGAAACTTTACTATGCGGAAGAAAAATGCTGCTTTTAACCATCTTAATTTAAATGAAACAAGCACCGAAACAGTTTCCTTACCTTGTCAAATCTTTTTAAAACTGTCCCTTATTTTTTTAATAGTTTATATTTAACGTAGTACTGTACTGTAGTTGCTTTTTTGTTGTTGGTTTTTTTGTCTGTTTGTTTGTTTTGTCTCTGCTGTTGCCTGGTTGCATACCTCCAATTCCAAATGAAGTGTATGGTTGACCAATCAGTTTGTAATGAGGTTCTACTGTAGTTCCAATTATATTATTTCTAAGTACAAAAAATTCCTGTTGCCTATACTAGCCAGAGTCCTTAATAAAAAGTTAGGTGTGTCTGTATTATGGGGAGGAATAAAGCATGGGGGATTGTTAGCAGTAAAGCTAATTTGTTTGATCCACTCATAACGGAGAAGCATTCTAGTAGAAATCAATCATTCAGGATAGGGTTACATTATAATTATGGTCTACAATTGTTTTGATTTTATAATGTGTGTCTGGTTAGTGGTTAGACACCCAGTTTTGATCACTTAAGTGTGTGTGTTGTGTTTATCTAAATTTGTAAAAAAAAAAATAGCAGTTAGCAGACTGGTTGTATGCAACTATTCTTATTACAGAATTTCTCAACCACGTGTTCACATGAGTGATAGAAAGCACAGAGAATGTGAAAAATCTATGCATAATGTAGACAATGGTTTTAGTTATTGTTCATTTATTATGTGATGTTATGATTAATCAACATGTTATATCATATATATTCATTGTATGTTAATTAGAATTAATTTGTAGGATTATAGAAGTATAAGATTGATCAGTATTTAGAGAAATCATGTGTTAGACGTAAGTAAGACATACTGAAACGCAAGAACTGTAGGCTGAGGCCTGCAAGAGTTTAGCTTAGCTATTTTAGGCCTTGGAGACAAGAAATGATGACATAAGTCAATGACCAAAAATAACCTGAAAGATTACGGAAAGAGATACCAACTGGTAATATTGCAAAAGTCTGGCAGGAAAATTAAATTTTAAATTATAAACTGCTGTAACAGCAAACATTGTCTCCAAGAGGTGTCTTAACCAAATAGGGTGACCAGATGTCCCAATTTAATAGGGACAGTCCTGATTTTGGGGTCTTTTTCTTATATAGGCTCCTATTACCCCCCACACCCTCTATCTTGATTTTTCACATTTGCTGTCTGGTCATCCTATAACCAATGGATAAAGGTAGTACGTCAGTGTTAATGAGAACCTATACAGTCTATAGAATTCAGGGTCTCTTATGTTTCTAGGGGACACAAACCAATAAGAAGGAAAGAGTTGACACTTCCATGTACATGCACAGAATGTGGGTATAGACAGAATCACAGTCACAGTATAAAAAAGGGTGCCCAGAGCAGAAAATTTGAGCTCCCTCTGGGAAACTCCAGCAGGAACCATCCCTTTACTGATGATCAAACCATGAGAGACCCATGAGACCCTAACACTGTTGTTAAGGATGGGAGTAGAACCATATTTGTAACTTGTGCATAGGTCTGTATTGAATTTCTATATGCTTGGGTTATCATAACTGTAATTGTAACTTTAATAAAACTTGTAAATTAAACTAGACCTTGTACTTGTGAATGTCTGTGTGGTCACTACCCTTGGTCTTTATGTGTCCTAGAGGCTCTAATTCTGAAGCAAGCAGCAGAGGTGACTTTCACTCTGTTAAGGTTGAAACTGTAGCCACCAGAGTCGAACCCATAGTGGTGTAACACCACATTACAAAACTCACTTCAAATAAAATAAAAAACTACAGTAAATAGCAAGACTATCACTCTGAACTCTGTCCTGTATCTTTCTTTGAGTCTCCATAAAAATCACTTCCTTGAAAGAAAAAAGATATAGTTGCAACGCCCCTGTCATGTAATTAGGAGATGTTTTGTACAAAGTATATCTTGTGCGGTATCATTCTCAAAGTCTTGATCTGCTAGACATTAATGACTCATTGGATTGTATATGCTCTCGTCGTATGGGAAGTTATGAAGTTTGCCTATGTAGGTGTTACTGAAACATGTTGGAAGGTTCAAAACAACCTCAAGCAGCCTTTCAGGCACAACAGTAAAGAAGCCAGAACAATGTTAATGGCTTATTGAGGAAATGCACACAAGTATGGATTGCCCCAAGAGCTGGATGCAATAGAAACCTCTCAGAGATCGCACTACACAGGGGGGACTGTTTGACCCAAGTCACAGCAAAAGAGCTTTCCAGCAAAGGGATAGAAGATATAAAAGGGGGACAGTGGCACCCCGAGTGGGTCGTCCTCACCAGAGGTGAAAGTAAGCCGGCACTGGCCAGTACGGCATATCGGTAAGAAAGTGGCCGAAGCTGTGCAAGTAAGCCGGTCCGGTCCACTGTACCAGCAAGCTATTTATAGATAGTTCAGCGTACCAGAAAGACACCGTACTGCCACCAACCCCTCCACGAAGCTGCCTCTTAGGAGAACAGGGCTGCGGTGGGGGGAGCTGGGAGCGATACAGCAGCCAGAGGAGCTGCCAGTGTTCTTCTCTTTTCCCCGCACACTGCTGCCCCTCCCAACGGGGGAAGGAGCAGAACCCCGTCTTCCGGCAGGGCTGCCATTGTATGGAGCCGGAGGAGACACAGCTCCACCGAAGCTGTGTCTTTCTGCAGCTGGGTGTGGCCCTGCTAAGGTGACCAGACAGCATGTGTGAAAAATCAGGACAGGGGTGGGGGGTAATAGGAGCCTATATAAGAAAAAGACCCAAAAATCAGGACTGTCCCTATAAAATCGGGACATCTGGTCACCCTAGGCCCTGCCTATGTGTGTGACTGGGAGAAGCTTGTGAGCCTAGCCCAGCAAGACAGGTTAAAGGGGACCCCGACGGGCAGAACAGGCAGACTCAGTGGTATCCCAGCAGATTGGGGAAACCCGTCACAGCAGTATTTCTGGTAAATCAACCTTGCCAAGTTTCTAGGCCTCAGAACTTACCTTTAGGGTATGTCTACACTACGAGAATAGTTCGATTTTACTTAAAGCGAATTTGTGGAACCGATATTACAAAGTCGAACATGTGTATCCACACTAAGGACAGTAATTCAACTTTGTGAGTCCACACTAATGGGGCAAGCGTCGACATTGGAAGCGGTGCACTGTGGGCAGCTATCCCACAGTTCCCACAGTCCCTGCTGCCCATTGGAATTCTGAGTCGAGCCCGCAATGCCTGCTGGGGAAAAAAATGTGTTGAGGGTGATTTTGGGTAACTGTTGTCATTCAACCCTCACTCCCGCCCTCCCTCCGTGAAAGCGCCGGGGGCAATCAGTTCGTGCACTTTTCTGGAGGTTGACAGCGCGGACGCCACAGCACCACAAGCATGGAGCCCGCTGCGATCATCGCTGCCCTTATGGCCGTTGTCAACACCTCGCACCTTATCATCCACCTTTTTCAGAGGCAGATGCTGAGAAATCGGGCGAGGAGGCTACAGCAGCGCGGTGAGGACATGAAGTCTGAGAGGGTGGTGAAACACTGGAATGCGTTACCTAGGGAGGTGGTGGAGTCTCCTTCCTTGGAGGTTTTTAAGGCCCGGCTTGACAAAGCCCTGGCTGGGATGATTTAGCTGGGAATTGGTCCTGCTTTGAGCAGGGGGTTGGACTAGATGACCTCTTGAGGTCCCTTCCAACTCTGATATTCTATGATTCTATGATTCTATTCTAGGGGCACAGACCTCTCCCAAAGCACAGGACCCCGCACCGTGGACATCATGGTGGCAATGGGTCATGTTGATGCTGTGGAATGGCGATTCTGGGCCTGGGAAACAAGCACGGACTGGTGGGACTGCCTAGTGCTGCAGGTCTGGGATGAATCACAGTGGCTGCGA